ACGGCAGTGAAGTCACGGGAGATGTGAGTATGGGAGCGGGGTAACATTTCGTGCTCGCGAGGGCCTGTTCCTCAGACATATATCTCAGATCTCGATACCAGTCACACGAGGAAAAGGTTATCCAAGATTGTAACAAACTTGTACACGCAATACGAATGTCCCCCACCATGGACGTATAAGTGACGGCGGAGGGATTCTCATTGGGCTGTCAAGACGGCTTGATTCCGGTGCCTCGGCAACTACTCGACGTGCTTCCAAATCAGTCGAGTCTGCCAACGAACAAGATACCTGTTGGCGTTGTACGCAAGACATTTTGGTGTACGCATGCGTCTCATGACGATGAATTGAGGGGAAGGCATGCCGGTGCCAAGGTAGTTTGGTTAAAGTGACAAACGGCGATTGGCCTTGCATCCAACGCTCAGCATACGCAACTGAGACAGTTTCGGTTGATTCAGCGTCAAAAAAATGGAGAATACCAGTCCATCTTGCATTCGGTTTTGCGTTGGAAAGCTCCCAGATGTTCAATCCTCCCCGCGACCCGTCCCGCTCTTGTCCCGCAAAGCCCACATCTGGTGTTTCCTCGGGACCCCTCTCTCTCTTGCCACCCGCATGCACCATGGCGGGAAGCCCCTCTTCTGCCGATAGTCGACAGTAGTCGGAGGCGACACATGCAGCCCGAATGCGACCTACCACAATTGATATGTGCCGCATAATGCATAGCGAATGGATTTTCTGTTTATAATCTTTGAGGAAAGCTTGGCAACTGTCTCGACGTCTAGCAGTACACATGAGCTCCCAATTCGTTTTGGTCATGTCGATGATAGAACTTATAGAGAACAGCAAGCTGACACTCTTCGCTGAATCATGATGAACTCGTGGTTTCATGGATTGAAATCCACCAGGTCTAGCACTTGAGTGATTAGTTCCTTTCAGGGTCAGCTCACTTGTAGACAAATTGTTGGGGTAAACCCGTCCAAGCAGACGAGACTGTGGATATGTTCTTGTTTTCTTAACCATAATCAGGTTGAACTCTAGATCATGCTATATCCATGGCTGTTGTCTTATCGAGCCATCTGTGGAGGTGTATGGAGCAATTGGTATCCAAATGCCATGCGTGCAGGCCGTAATCCGCACCAATTACGGGGTGTCAGCTTCCTGACTGAACCCGTGGAAGCATGTTGACAATGACTCTATTTCGAAGTGGTGATCAGTGAGGTCCTCTGGTGTCAGCCTTAGTGACCACGAGAAGCGCTGCAATAGACGAGCGAGCTGGGGTGCACGCAGCTTCGATTCTGTTGATTGACGGTGATGTTCCACCTATGATGACAGTTCAATTTCTGTCAAAGGAGTTTGTTTGCTCCGCTAGGATGTTGCGCCGAGGAGTTAAGGGTTGAAACTAATACCGAAAAGCTGTCTACAGTTCTGAAATTCTCACATGCTGTTGATGTCAGTCAGGCACTTTAGATACAGAGAAACTTGGGTGGAATAGGTAGAATGACGTGGCTTTGACACAGTCACTTGGTAAAGAGACTGTAACTATGCTTTGAAGCTAGGAGAAATATCCTCTTCTTCCAGAAAGCTTAACTCCTCTTTACTTTAGATCGCTGCATGCCCTCTAAGGAAGGGTACTATCACTGTCTGATTGGTCATGGCCATCTCTAGGTTATCCGCCACGTTGGTAAGACTGTTGGCTGTCGTGGACGTATTGGAAATGTACCTCTCAATCAAGAACCAGGATTATGTAAATTATGGAGGAACAATAGCGTCAACCTCTGGTTTACTGCTGCGCTTGAATATGGCACCCGAAAACGACGCTCGACTTGAATATGATGTCTACACCACTCCTTCTGATTGAGGGCGTCCAGTAAAAGACATAGAGCAGTTTCCAGGGGAAATATTAGTGTTCTTCTATACTTCGAATCACGGGAAGCAGTTGGTGACATGTCAAGCATTTCTTGCGGCGATAAGGAGCGCTTTGCCCGGTGTACCTCTCGATATAAAATGAAGCCAAGTACATGAGTGACGACGTTTTCTTTATTCTAGTACATGGGCATCTAAATAGAGGCAAAAGCATCTAGTTCATTGCAGGATATCTTGGTCAACCCAATAAAATAAATCACTTTCAGTCCTGGCAACACTTTTTGCATAAGGATGAAAGATGCGGGTTTCCTTACAACTAGATGAGTCACCCAGGAGAAACACTCGCTAATGATATTAAGGACGTAGAGAATCAGAGGGACATAAGCTAGGAAAATCAAACGGAGTGATGAATTCGGACTTGACTCTGCAGGTTTAGCTAGCAACTGAATACGAAACCAACGGCGACAGCGGACTGCCTCCACGAAGGCCAATAGATGCTAGAAATTATTGATATAACATTTGAAAGCTCGGTGAGCAATCACATAATGAATAGATCAGGACATACGCTCTCTGGAGATTCGTATCATTCTGGCTTACATGCGCGGAGGCGTAAGGTTTTTTTGACGCACTCTTTTGACGCACTCTTTTGACGCACTCTTTTGACGCACTCTTTTGACGCACTCTTTTGACGCACTCTTTTGACGCACTCTTTTGACGCACTCTTTTGACGCACTCTTTTGTAACCAAGCTGTTTCTGTTTCTGGCTGCTTAAACAGACAGTAAAACTCCACAAAGACGACCAGCGTCTGATGATGCTTGCAATAAACTCCTTGAGCGAGCATCGGGCATGCTTCTGGATGTTGCGCTTGACGGTTATTTGGCAGATGAATCTACTACTATCGTCGAGCAGTTGGGGAATCGACCCAGATTGGTGCAATTGGAAAGTTATAAAAAGTGAGCCCATTCGTCAAGCAACTGAGGGAATCCAAGGCGTGGAACTCATTTCGCCATTCGAACTACGCGAACGGCGAGGGATGTCCGACTCCGGGCCGGACCTATCCCCGATGACCCACATCACACCGGGAGGACCGAGTGGATCCCGGCGAACCAAGACGGCCGTCCGAGTCGACCAGCTGGCACGGGCATGTCTAAAATCACAATGCATTTTTTCTCTGCTGTCCTTCCATGGGGTGCTTGGCAGTGCCACACTCAAAAGTTGAAGGACGAGGTGATGGATGTTAGTCCCGGCAGTTGACTCGTGCCTCAGGATGGGCCAAAGACATTGGGCAAGCGCCTACAGCGTTTGCAATCGTGCAGCAATCGGTACATGTGTCGATATTTTCAGACGCGGCGGCGTGATAGCCGACGTGCCAATGTTGCGGCAGCCGTGGCAAACACAAAGGGCCAATCACAAGCAGTCACGGAGGAGGTGCGAATCATGGCCGTGGCCTTGGGCTGGCGAGTGTAATCTCCCAGGGCGCAGGAGGTGGTAGCAAGAGTGGTAACACGTGTTGCCGCAGGTGACCGGGAAGGGCAAGATGCAGTAGGCGGCAGCAGCACGATGAAGATCCCTGGCGGCGCTATGATGTTGTGCGATTGCGACGGGACAGGGTGGGATGGGTCAGACAGACAGTGTACGTACGGCGGCTCTTTGGTGACGAGTGAATCGGGTAGGGCGGTCTCCGGCGACAGGTAGCGTCGTGGGAGAAGAAAAGAGAGGGACAGCATCGGGAAGAGGCGGTAAAGATGCGTTGGCAAGGAATGAAGTCGCAGCTGTGGTGGTGGTGGTGGTGGTGGTGGTGCAGTTGAATGGGAGCTGCACATGGCGACATGGAGGGGGCGAGTCGAGAGCTGATCCCCACATGGATTGGAGGGGAGGGCGGGAGTGGCACTCGGTGGCACCGGCTCAGCGAGCTGGTCTGTTTCTGACCGATCAGAGGTTGAGACTTGAGAGACACACCCGCGGGACGGGAAGAGAGTTGAGAGTCACAGATAGCAAGCCGGGTGGGTGTGTCTGTCTCTCTCTGCGGCGAGTGGTGGGTGTGCGAGTGTGGCGGACGGCAGTGTGGGAGGTGTGCTGTCATCTGAGGTCTGAGACTCGGGGGGCTGCCTGCTCGGTGACGAGGATTCGTGATTCGTCTTTGCTGCTGTTGCTGGTGGTGGTCGAGGAAGGGTTTATGGTCGATTTGGTTCGAGCCACCTGTGTGATGTGGTGATGGCCAGCGTCTGTCGTAGGTACGCAGGAGTCGAGAGTCGAGAGTCGAGAGTCGAGACTCGAAAAACCTGACAGGCAGACAGCACGGCGCAATATCCGTGGTACAAAGTACTGCGTATTGCAGCAATGGAGCCTGGAAGTGAGCAGTATCCGTACCTGTAGCTTGAGCTCGGAGGCCTGGAGACAAGGATGTCGGCAGCTTGGCTCTGCTGGGGGGTCTTGTTTCAACCAATCCTGGCTGTTTCCTCGCTTTTCCTGGTCCCCGGCTGCCAATTTTACGCAGCGAACATGTCCTCGTCTCGCCTTGTCCCGTCGCGGGCGGACTGAGGTGCTGCTGGAACTTTTACAGTGGATTCAGCATCAGGCCCAGGTCTCCCCCTCCATCCCTTCCCCAAAAGGCTCCAACTTGCCCCAAGCCTGTCCAAGCAAACTCCTCCGCTCCTCCCACCCTGGACCCTGAACCTGGCCGATTACGAGCAGCGAGGTTGGCCCGACAAGTCTGGGTTAGTGCAGATTGCAGCTGCTTTTTCAGCACTTAGCACCCAGCACCCAGCACCCAGCACCACCCCCGGCTACCCTGACCCCTTCTCTTCCACCATCCAAACCATCCACCCACCCATCGTCCCAGAACAGATCCCCAGCCACCCTCCTCCCCCACCCGGCCTTTTTTTGCCAATCTTCTGAACCCCCAGGATGAGCTTCACGGCTTGTCCCGGCCACTGCTTACTGTGAAAAACAAAACAATAACATCGCCAGATTATCGCAATCAGCCTTGCAACAGCCCCTCGAACATCGTTGCGCCGACCTGAAGGACCCCGCGCATACATCTAGCAACCGTACAATTAATTATCCCGTCATTCAATCGCGCGCAAACCAATCCACGACAAATGCGCACCACGGGGTCCCAATCGCCGCTTCAACCATGATGCGTGGTGATCCACGTCGCCGGAGCCCGGAGAGCTCTAGGCGGCGAAGAAAGGACCGGCGTGACTCTCGCGAACAGCTTGCCTCCGCCGCCGCCGCCCCCTCCACCGTATCCAGCATGCCAGGCCCGTCTGCTCAACCACAGCAATACCCTTATTCGCAGCAGCAGCAACAGCAGCAACAATACCAATACCAACCCCAGACATACTCTCCGTCGCAATACTCCCAATCCTACGCCGAACCCCAAAGATACCCCGATCATGAAAGCTACGCTCCGAGACCTGAGCGATACGAACAACAACAACAACAACATCATCATCACCAATACCAACAGCAACAATCGTACGGGAACCCCCAGAGATACCCGGAACCCGAGCGATACGCCCAAGCTGAGAGATATTCTGAACCCCCCCAACAATATGCCGAACGCGATCGATATGCCGGCTCCCAAGCATCAGCATCGGCATACACCGAGCCTGCGAGAACGCGCCCGCGCGGCGGCTCGAGTTCGTCCGCCTCGTCATCCACTTCGTCGTCCCTCCTCAACGTTTCTGCCAAGGCTCCAAGGTTCGGCGGTGTCTTTAGCACTTTTTGGAGGGCCCCCTCGGAGCAGCGTGAGCGACGGCGGAGGAAGAAGCAAAAGGCTCGCATCTTCTTTGCTACGAACTCGTCTTCGTCCTCGGTCAACTCCGACCTGGCCTACGGCCGCGGCTACATTGAACGCGACAAGAGCCAGGGTCCAACCCCCGCGGCTTCTGCTTATGCCAGTCCCGCCATGTATCGGAATGAGCCTGCGCCTACTGAGGTCCGTCAGCAACCACCACCGCCGCCTGAGCCGCGGCCCAAGACCGACGATGAAGAAATCCTCGAGATTGGCCGCCAGTTGCAGGACATCGCCAGGAGGCAGAATGAATCCGACAAGCGCGCCGCCGGCAAGTCCCGTGCGTCCCAGCTGGCTGGTGCCGCCGGTATAGCCGGTGCAGCTGCTGCCTTTGGTCACTTCCGCAATCACAAAGCGGGCGGCAAGAGTCAAGCGGGACCTTCGTCGAAAGTGCAGGAGTCTTCCTCTGACGACGACTGGGAATCCGCGTCTGAGGATGAGTCGTCCACGGATAGTTCCGACAGCTCAGATGGCGGCGGTTTGGCTTATGGCTTTGACAAGCCGTCCAAGTCTGCCAGGATCTCGGCCGAGCCTCCTGAGCAGATTCAGCCGCCCGGACGGAAGAACACCGTCGTCGACCCGCGCCTCTTCGGCCCTTACAACTCCCTCCGCGGCGCCGTCAAGAGCCCCTGTGGCTTTGGCGAACAGGACGACCCTCGATCTGCAGGCTCGTTCCGCCGTCATCACGAGGAAACCGTCGCGCAAGTCCAGTCACCCAAGACCGAGAAGAAGCCAGTGCAGCAGCCGATGCAGCATGTGTATCCCGTGCCAACTTCGGACCCAGACAAGTTTGACTTTGACCGCGCTTCTGTGACCGCGTCTAGGCAAGACCTTCCACAACAGTCCCGACCCGCCCCTGTTCCCCTGCAGCAACCTAAGCCCATTGTCCCGGTCTCATCCAAGGTTTATGATGCGGACAGATATGTAGAACCCCGGACTTTCAAGCGCCAGACGCCCACGGGCAGGAGCCCTGGTAGGATCCCCGTCGAGACAGCCATTGCCGGTGCTGGGGCCGCAGCCGCGGCCATTGGCGTGGCCATGGCTAACCGTAGGGACTCTGCCGATCACGTTCAACGTCACGACGAGCGCCGGAGTGAGGCCTGGGAGAGGCGAGACCACGCCCGCGAGTCTCGGGACAGCCGTCGACCAGACGAGCGGGTAGATCAGCCTGTCAAAATTGAAATGGACGACCGTGAACGCCGCGATCGCAGCGAACGCCGGTCATATAGGCATAGCCCCGTCGAGATCATCGACCAACGAGACAAGAACCGTACCGCCCGCGGCGATGCCCCTCCCGAGCCGACCAAGAAGCCGGAAGCACGTCCAGATGCCCGTCCAGATGCCCGTCCAGAGGTGTACCGGCTGCCGAAAGGTGACGAAATCCGAGTAGAGTATGACCCGGAGGAAGATCGACAGCGCCGAGAGAAACCCAAGGAGCCTCGTAAAGAAGAACGTAAGCCGGAAGTCGTCGAAGAACGCCGGGATGCGAAGCGGGTAGAGAAGCAAAATGACTTACCCCGAGATCATCATGGGGTGGAGCAACCCGAGGTCCCCTTTACACAAGCCCCTATTGACCCTTTCCAGTTCCAGGTCGCTGACGACGCTTTTCAAACACCGAAATACGCGACGCCCAAGAACGCCACGCCCAAGAGGCCGCTGACTCCCCAGGTCGTGACTGTTGATCGCGAGCCTAATTTCGACGATTCGCCCCCGAGGAAGCCCGACTACTCGGATTCACGAATGAGCCGCAAGGATTCTTTCGAGCTCGAGCAAAGGTTGGAGCATTACCAGCAAGGCTTCAGAGACCGCTCGAGAACGCCGGAACCCCGCCGTCGCAGAGACTCGTTCGAAGAGGAGAAGCACGCCGCCAAGGCAATTTACGACGAGGTCAAGCATGCCACTGCGCCCGTAGCCGCGGCCGCTCTTGCTTCTGCAATTGCCGTAGAGGAACAGAGATCGCGAAAACATCGTAGTGAACATGTCACCGAGGATGGCTCGCGTAGCAGCTCCCAGGCTGCCAGAGACGCCGTCCAGGAAGAGGCCGACAGGCATTACCGGGAGACCGTCCTTGCTCGCAAGATTGCCGAGGACGAAATTCGCTCTCGCAGCTCCTCGCCTCATGACGGGTCTGTTGTAGGCAAGTACGATGACGACAAGCGACCTGAAGTTGTCACCATCGTGACGCCCCCAGAGATGGACCATCCTCACGACAAGAGCCCCTACGACGCGCCAAACGCGGATGTTCGTATCGATCACGTCATAATACCAGACGAGCTCGCCCGTTTTCGTCTACCGGAAGGCCAGCTTGGTCCTGGCTCCACGCATATCTTCCGGTCTCGCGACCCCTCTTGTGAGCGCGAGCGGCCCCTATTGAATCTCGTCCTCCCTACACCTAATATCACCCCCCGCGCCACACCTGCCCCTGAGCAGCAGAAGGAGGCGGACCGTGAAGCGAGACAAGAGGAAAAGCCGAAGAAGAGCACACGTGAAGTGCCAAAGCCTAGATCCGTAGAGGTGACTGCCACTCCCGCGGATATCGCCCCTGAAGTCGTTCCGGAACCAAAACAAAAGGTTGTCGAGAGACCAACGACACCCACGGCCAAGTCGGTGACCTGGGGCGAGAACGAGACCAAGAGTTTTGAGATTGAGAGCCCGGAGCCTCCGAAGAGCGTGCCCTCATCCACTTCTCCCAAGAAGTCGAAGAAGCGCTTCGGTAAGAGCACCCCGTGGGGCGTAATCGCCGCAGCCATCGGCGGAGCGGGCGCTGCAGCGGCAGCTACCTCCGAGGTTCACGATCCTTTCGAGGAGAACAAGACGACGGAAGACAGGGAGAGACACAGCCCACCGCAGTCTCCCAAGTCCCGAGCCGTCGAGCCTTCCTCGGAGCCTATCGTTTCCCCCATCCATCCCAAGGTCACCACCTCGTTTGAGGATGATTTGCCTCCTGCGCCAGGTCCGAAGCCGTCCAGTCCACAAACCTCTCAGATGCCCGGGGCGTTTGCGGATGATTTAGAGTTCGCGTCCGTCCTCGCTGCTGGCTTGCAAGACACTGGATTTGACCCCAACATTGTCATTGACAACCCGACCTACATGCGGCGTGATAGTCCGCCGGGCCAGAATGAGCCAATCTACCAGCAGCCTTACGTAGAGACGGTCAATGACCTGGGAATCTACGGTCCTGAGAATATCGGGCAGCCCACGGCCGCCCGCGAGCCAGGCCACGTCATTAGCGAGGTTCAAGACACTCCTGTGGAGAAGGACCTGAAAAACGGCCATGCTGCTTTCGACACTCTCCCTAGAAAGTATCGTGATAAGGGCAAATCCAAGGAGACCGAAGCCTTGCATGAAGAGCCTGCTGGCGACGAATCTGAGCCTGGTAGGAAGCTCAGCAAGAAAGAGAAGCGCAAGCAGAAGGCCGCCAAGAGACAGAGCGTCGAGAGCGCGCCGGAGGAAACAACAAAGGCGGTAACACCGCTGGATCCTTTCTCACAAACGGCGCCCGAGCACGATTGGAACGACGACAGGTCTCAGAGCCCCTCAACCGTTGTATCAACCGTTGTGTCGGTCGGTCCCAAAGTTCGCGACCCTCTTGACGACCCCCTTTGGAATTCGCCGTCGTTTTCCCACCGGGATCGTCCTGTTGAAGAGCCCACATACGATTCCCGCCGTTATGTTGACGAGCCAACTTACCAATCCCGCCGCTCTGATGAAGAGCCAACGTATGACTACCGCCGTTCTGCTGACGAGCCAACTCCTCGGCGCCAGTCTGAAGAGCGAAGATCCCCCCAGACCACCCGATCCCTGGATGATTCTCCTTACGCTGGCACCTCTTTTGACGAACTGCCTTCTATCCAAGACACAAGATCCTTTGACGAGTCTTCTTCTCTCTACTCTCAGCCTTCTGAGGTGCCAAGCTCTTACGTACGCTCCCGCGATGAGCCATCTCCTCAGGCGCCGGCGTCATCTGAGACACCCAAAGCAGATGACGACGCCGCAGCCCCGACGAAGTTGAGCAAGAAAGAAAAGAAGAAGAAACGGTCTTCCAGATCAGACATTGTTGTGGTACAGGAGGATGGGAAAGAGCCGCAGGAGATCATCGTTGAGGAGCCGCGCAGCTATCGCGAGGAGCTGCCCGAGCACAACGACACTGCTCCGACAGAACCTCGCGAGAGGGACGATGACCCGTTGGACTCGCCAGTGAAGAAGAAGAAAAAGTCCAAAAAGTCCAAGCAGAGCTCTGACGAGTGGACCGACGTCGAGAAGCAGATTGAGGACGTCTCTGCCGGCGGTAGAAGCTCGCCCACCAAGCCTGTGGACGATTGGGACGATCGTCCTGCCAAATCGCGGCGGGATCGATCTAGGATCGACGACCAAGACACAGGCTCTGTCGTGTCCGATTCGACACCGCGGCGCAGCAAGTCTGATCGCCGCTCCAACGGCAGCCGTTACGAAGAAGACGACGCCAAGTCTGTGGCATCAGATGGGTCCGGTCGTAAGAGACGTAGCCGCGACGACAAGAAGAGTGTCAAGGACGATGACAAAAAGAGCACCAAGGAGGAAGAGAAGCGCGGCAGCAGCGGGTTCTTCAGCCTGTTTAGACCGGGAAGCGGAAACAAGGACACATCTGGAAAGGAGGAGAAGTCTTTTTTAGATAATGCCGGCACCCTTGGCGCGGGTGCCGGCTTGGCGAGCGCCGTGGCAGCTTTGGGCTCCATGATGTCCCGCTCCAACGCCACCGAACCTCAACCGGAAGAGTCTGAACATTCTCGTTCTTTGGAAAGGACCGCCAGTGCTTCCTCAGATGTGGACATTCTCGACCCCGAAATCACACAGCGGACAATCAGGCCAGCCATCGACCCGCAATATGGCGACCTCCTTCCCCTCCCGCCTAGTCCTATGCCGCCGAGCACTCCTGGCTCTCCAACGGAAGAGCTCGACGACCTCCCTGCCCTGCCTGACAGCCGGCCAGAAACGCCCCCAGAGGAGCGGAGACGACAGCACGAGATGAAGACGCATGTCCGGCGCCGCAGCAACTTGGACACCCCGCACAAGAGCCCAAGCCAAACTGCGGTGCCCTTCAAGCTGCGGCTCGGACAAAGGTCCAGCCCATCATCTCCAGGTAATCTGGGACATGCAATCTCTCCCATGACTTCTCCGACGGCTCCAACGGCCCCGGAGAACGCCCTGTCCCGGCGTCCTTCCATCAGACCATTCTCGTGGGAGAGCAGCAAGGAAATTAAACCGCTCTACCTGCTCGAGCAGGCTCGCCAGGAGCACGCCGCTCAGTCTACGGAGCCACACGTAGACTTTCCGGGGCTGCCACCCAGCGAGCCTTCGTCCCGAGAGTCCCCTGCACCGCAGTTTGCTCTCCGCGAGAACGACGTGGAGTACTTCCGCCAGCTTCAGGCGTCACCGTTCGAGCCTGATGAGCTCCGTGTCAACACGGATGTGTTCCGCTCTCCGGCTGCACGAGACCAGTTCAGCTCGCAGGAGACAACGCCAAATGCCGAGCAAGCACTGCACCATACTCGTGCCATGTACCGCCCCGAGTCCCCTGCTCTACCTGTCGTTCCAGACCTAAACATACGACTGGAGCTGTCGGGGCGTGACCTGGCTGCGCTACCTGTTCTCCCTGCCAGCCCGGCAAGTACGGGAACCGAGCATGAAGCTGCAGTGCCTGCCGAGCCGTCTTTGGAGCGCGCAGTAGCAGATCTACCTCCTCTATCTGACGATCCAGAGTCTCAGGCTGGGTTGGCAGAGAAGCCCAGAAGCCCTGTTTTCCTCCCTGAATCGCCCGCACTTCCCGGCATGCCTGATGCAGCCAGGCAACTGGAATCTTTCGAGTATGAGCCGATGGACCTGCCATCTCTTCCCGCTAGTCCTGTGACAGATCAGGCGCCTTCTCCTGTTATGCAGTTCCACGACGCGGAAGATTTCCCTGCTCTTTCAACAAGTCCATTGGCTGAGGACGCGTGCGAAGCGCCGCATACTGTCCCCAAATTCCTCCCTGAATCTCCTGCTCTTCCGCCTGTCACAGAGACCCATCGAATCGATCTCCCAGACCATTACTTTGAGGCTTTGCCTGTTCTACCTGCCAGCCCCAAGGTAGAGCCTCGAGCTTCGCCCAAGAGCGTCCGCTTTGCCCCCGAATCTCCTGCGCTTCCTATCATCCCAGACAACGCCGAAGGTTTTGGTCTCCCAGCACATTACCTCGATGAGTTGCCTGCCCTCCCCGGCAGCCCTGTTGCAGAGTATCAGCCAATTGCAAATGGCGTCAGCTTTGCACCCGAGTCGCCCGCACTTCCCTCGGTTGTAGATGCTGCACGGCTAGACATTCCCGAGTACGATCTTGCAGAGCTGCCCAGCCTTCCCGCCAGTCCGGTCCTGGAGCACAGGGACCGCGATATTGGCCCCAAGTTTGCACCCGAGTCTCCAGCTCTGCCAGCGTCCCCAGACAAGTTTAGAGATGTCATCTTCCCGGTCGACTCAGTGGACCAGTTGCCTGCTCTGCCTGGCAGCCCTATACTAGAGTACCATGAACCTGCTCCTACCATCAGCTACGCGCCGGAGTCTCCATCCCTTCCCACGTGGCCCGGCACAGGTTTCTGCTTGCCCACGCAGCTTGAGACAGACCTGCCTGCTCTTCCTCTCAGCCCTGTTTTAGAGCAGCAAAACCCTCCAGCAACAACCACCTATGCTCCAGAGTCCCCTTCTCTCCCCACGATTCCAGAGACATTTAGGCATTTCGACACACCGGCTTACAATGTGGATGAGTTGCCCTCCCTTCCCGCCAGCCCTGTGGCAGAGCACGAGGCCGTTAGATATATCTATGCACCCGAATCCCCGGCTCTCCCCTCATTTCCTGGCGCGAACTTATACTCCCCAGAGCAGCAGCTAGAGGATTTGCCTTCTCTTCCCGGTAGCCCTCTGGCGGAGACTGAGGCATCGCTGAAGAAGTTCGCCTATGCGCCTGAATCCCCTGGTCTGCCCTCAGTTCCTGGCGCGAGTTTCTACTTTCCGGAGCAGCAGCTAGAGGAGTTGCCTTCTCTTCCTGGTAGCCCTGTGGCCGAGGACGTGTCGAAGAAATTCACGTTTGCACCTGAATCGCCCGCTCTTCCCACTGTTTCAGGCGCAGGTTTTTACTTCCCTGAGCAGCAGTTAGGAGAGTTGCCTGCCCTCCCTGGAAGTCCTTCAATGGAGCCTTTTGTCACGGACCGTGAGGAGATTGCCCCTCCAAGGGTCGTCTACGCACCTGAATCGCCCGCTCTTCCCTCCGTCCCAGACACGGCTATCTACTTTCAGGAGCAGCAGCTGGACGATTTACCTTCCCTTCCCGGAAGCCCTGTAGCGGAGCCCCTTGTGATGGAGCGTGAGGAGCCTGCCCCTCCTAAGGTTGTTTTCGCACCTGAATCGCCTGCTCTCCCTTCAGTCCAAGATGTGGGTTTCCACTTCCCAGAGCAGTCTTTGGAGGAGCTACCTGCTCTACCCAGCAGTCCTACAACGGAGCCTATGGTCATGGATCGTGAAGGGACGAATGCCCCAAGGATCACCTTCGCCCCAGAATCCCCCGCCCTTCCCCCACAAACCGACTTCTACTTTCCAGAGCAGCCCATGAAAGACCTACCTGCTCTGCCTCCTAGCCCTGTGGCAGAACCTGAGGATCATTCAAGAGGCCCTACACTTGCGCTCGAATCGCCCGCGCTTCCTCATCTCCCGGACGCATCTCACCAGCTGTATGCCTCTGATCACCAGCTAGAAGATTTGCCTGCTCTGCCGACCAGCCCTGAGACGTTACCGGCGGTCGGGACACTTCCAGAGCCAGAGCCAGTTGAGGTCACCTCCAAGGACAGAAGTTCGTATCTCCTGCACATGACGCCCCCGTCTATCGTCAAGAATCTAATGGAGCGTGACCTTCCAGACACACCGCCGAGCCCCACGCCCACCAGATCTTTGGATAGATCCGAAGCGATGGCTAAAGTTGAAGAGGAGAGTCTCTCCGATGAGCGCGACGTCGCTCTTGGCGCCGTTGCAGGCGGTGCGGCAGCCGGGCTTGCTACGACTATTCTCGGCCATGGCGACCAGGCCGAGGGCAAAAAGCAGTCTGACCCCGACACCCAGAGTTTGGAAAACTTTGGAATGTTCGAACCGGCAGGGCCACTTGCTGGAACGAAACTGTCCAAAAAGGCTAAAAAGAAGAAGAGAAAGAGTAAGGCGCTGTCTATGGACGAGAACGCTGCCCCGACGGAGGCCGCCACTTCTACCGAGCCACCAGCCGAGAATGCCGCCTTGCCGTCGAATGACAATGCTCCTGTCAGCCCGATTGACAAGGACCGACGGCAGTCAATCGATGCTCCTCGCGAGATGCCCGCAGAAGAGTCTGCACCTCCTTCTAGTGAAGTTGACACCGAGGCCCCAGCTGAAGATCCATCGACAGAGGCCTTCCCGAGCGAAGCCGCTCCCACTTCGGAAACGCGCGCTGCTGAGGAGACGCTTCCAACGGAGGCTCCATCGGTTGTGGCCCCTCCCGATGAGGTCTCCATGCCCATATCCTCTTCATCTAAGTCGTATGAAGAAGACCTCCCGTCAACGACTCACGCCAACCTTGATCCGGCTGCCGGCAGCAATGTCTTGTCCAACGACGATACGCCTGTCTCCATCGCCCCAAGAGATGGTTTACCCCCACCGGTCGAGTCCATCCAGCGTGAGACTCCTTCCGATGACGTCGTCCGTGGAATCGAGAGCCTACTATCAAGCGCCAACGACAATGTGCGCGGTGAAGACACTCCTGTGGAAACTCAGCCTGAGATGCCCGCTGTTGAGAGCAAAGCGCCCGTTGATGCTGAGGCCTTGGAGACTGCCCCTGTTGAGCCTTCTACAGCAGACCTTCCCGCCGAAAAGAAGCTGTCCAAGAAAGACAAGAAGAAACTCAAAAAGGCTCAGGCTCGGGCGTTGGAGCTTGAACATTCTGCGAAGCCTGACGAGGAACGCAACCAGATCGAGTCTGCCACGGAACCAGTGCCAGATCAATTGCCAGAGGACAACTTCACATCCTCCCTTGCCGACGACACGCTTCCCGCGCCTGAGACTGAAGCACATGACTCTATGGTTGAGGTGGAAGCTGCTGTGGCTGACGCTGATACTGGTGGTCCAGCCCTTGAGACTGAGCAAGCATCCCAGCTGCCTGAGCCACAGGCCGCGACTTGGCTTCCCAAAACCGAAACCACCGTTCCCGCTTCTGTGCCACAGAGCGACGAACCGGCTCTCTTGCCCGGCACAGGCGGTTCATCCTCAGCGCCGACTTCCGGCGAGAGCAAGGACGTCAATGAAGCCGAGCAGCCTGTTGCGCCTTCAGTCACCGAGCCTTCATCTCCCGAGACAAAGAAGAGTAAGAAAAAGAAGAAGGCAAAGAAGGCGCTCGATCTGGATGGTGAAGTCAAGTCAACGTCTGAGGCCAGTGAAACCAACCCCGTTGCTTCCGAGCCAGTGACGCCATTCCCGGAGCAGGAAGTGTCGGCCAAGCTGGATGAGAGCCCCTCCACATTCGAGTCCACAGCACCAATTGCCCCGTTGCCCGACGCGGAGTTTCAACTTCAGCACACTCCTATCTTGGAACAAGATGACAACCAGTTGGCACGGGGAGACGATGTGGCAGACTCGTCGGCTCCAATTGAAGCGGACGTGGAGAAGACAGCCAGCATGGACGAGCGTACATTGGAGTCTAAGCCTACCGTTGAAGCGGAAGAGAAGCCTGCCACTCTCGAGGACACTTTGTCTGGTCATAACGAGGACGTTCCCACATTGCAAGACGCGCCTGCTGATGGTCAGCCTTCCTTGGGGCCACAAGTTTCAATTTCTGGCTTGGAAGAGAAGTCGGTCAGCTTGGACGACGATTCGGCTCAAGCACAAACGGCCCCCGGTGAAGACGAGGCAAAGCTCGGCAACACGGAGGACGACCTGCCACTGCTGCCGACTCTGCCTGCGGACGATGTCCAGCCTGCGCAGGAACCAACGAGTGCCGTCCGTGAGATCGCAGAGCCGGCGGAGACATCGCCCACCCCCCCTCTCAAGGACCAGAACCTATCTTTGGCGGCTGAGAATGAACACGTTGAGGCCAAACCTGTCTTTGAACAGGAAACTCCTGTTGCAGACGTCCATGCGGACCTTGCCGAGAACCCTGAATTGCCTTCTTCAGAATCACGTGGATTGGATCTGGAGGCTACGCCCACCAGCCCCATGGAAGCTACTTCAGAGAATGTCTACTCCGGCACACTCGAGGACAGGTTCCCCAAAGGATCGCAGCCCACAACCAGCGAGGCAGAGACCGCTAAAGTTCCCGCGGCGGAATCTGGCCCCAAAGAGGATCCCCTCTCTACTTCTGAACCTATTGACAATGTCCCTTCCACGACCCATAGCGCAGCTGAGCTTCCCGAGCTTTCCGAGCCTGGGCCAGCGAGCACGCAAATGCCGTCCGCCGAATCTGCTCAGCCTGAGCAATCGGAAAAGAAGAAGAAAAAGAAGAAGAAGAGCAAGGGACCTTCTCTGTCCCAGTTGGACGACATCCTATCTATGGAAAACACACCTGTTCAGACCCCAACGACGGAGACTCCTCCTGTCGTTCCTCAAGCTGCTGAGACTCCGTTAACAGAGACTCCTTTAGTCGATAATCCAGTAGTCGAGACTCCGATCGTTGAGACTCCTACGGGTGAGACTATCGTTGAGACTCCAGTTGTCGAGACTCGTGACCTCGAGGCTCCTGTAGTTGATAACTCTGTAGTCGAGACTCCAATCGTTGAGACTCCTACGGGTGACACTGCTGTTGCTTTCGACGAAGTAGACACGGCTTCCCAGATTACTCCAGCTCCTGCCGAGGACCTTCCTGTTGAACCCCCTGCTTCCAATACTCCATTTGGTGAGACTACAGTCGTTGAGACTCCTGTAATCGAGAACCCCGTAGTTGAGACTCCTATTGTTGAGACTCCTACAGGCGAGACTACTGTTGAGACTCCGGCTGTCGTCGAGACTCAAATCATTGAGACTCCGGCTGCTGTTGAGAATCCGACCATGGCTGGTGCCCCCGAGGAAAAGGCGCTAGATTTCACAGAAGAGCCAACCCCGGATACGGTCACTTCGATCGAGAAGGCATCCAACGAAGCTCAGGGCAATGACCTGGATGCTGCAAAAGAGCATCTGGCCGTCACCGCAGAGACTCAAGAGCTACCAAGCAGCACGTTGACAGAGTCAGTCGGCCAGGCTGACAATGTATCTCCCCTGTCAGAAGAGCCTTCACCATCTCGCAAGAACGAGGTCTCAGAATCCGACGCTACTACTATCATCCCTCAAGATGAGTCCATGGAGCCTGCAGCCATTCCCGAGCAAGCCCCCATGGCCGAAGAGACGGCGACAAAGGAACCAGACGAACCGGAGACGGCTATTCGCGAATCTCAAGAGCCTACAAACGCCGAAAGCGACGATGAGGCTTTTGCAACGCCGCCGCAACGCCCCATCACCATTGAAACCGAAGATGACGCGCCTGGAAGCCTTTCGCAAGAGCCCACCCTTCTCGACAGCCAAATTGACGCGGTCGATACTAAGCCGCAAGAGCCGTTCATTGAGAAGGAGCAACCCCGCGATGTTGAGACGCCAGTCGAACCCGACTCGCCAGTTGAGTCCAAGAAGAGCAAGAAAAAGAAGAAGAAGGCAGCAGCAGCAGCAGCGGCAGCCGCCGCGGCTGCAGCCCTACAAGCAGCCATCGAGGACACTCCTGGAGACCAGAAGGACCAGAAGGAGGCAAAGGACGAGACGATCACGGACAAGGGCACGAGCATCACACAAGACAAGACGGGAGACACGGAATCACCGCCGCCTGAGCTCCCGACAAGCGGAGAATTCGCTACGGACGTCAAGATTTCAGAGGAGGCGGACGCAGGGCCAGCTGTTACCAAAAAGGGAAAGAAAAAGAAGAAGGGCAAGAAGTCATCAACCTTGGACCCGGAGCCTGAGAACAGCCCGTCCACAAGTATCCCCGAAAGCACGGCAGATGTAGCGAATACAATGGACAAGTCCGCTTATGTTTCCTCTCCGCCGAGAGAGCCTGTCAGTGACGAAGCTCGTTTCCCGCCAGCAGAAAGCTCAACCGAGGCCGAACCTGTTGCAAATACGGGCGAGCAAAGACGAAAATCCGTGACGTGGGCACCTGCACTGGGATCCGCCGCGAACAATTCCGATCTTCCTCTTCAGGAAGCCGGCCACGGCTCGGAATGGCAACCTGAGGCGGCGACGGCCCCGCCCCCAGCCACCGGAGAACTACAAATGACGGAGCCAAGCGAACCTGAGGATCGATCGGAGGCAGAGAGCCTGCCTCGCGCAATTGGCGAGGAGATGCAGGGTTCGGACACGATGGCTGTCGACGAGACAAGCGAAGGTGTGGCGCAGAAGGATCTCGACCCAGAAAGCCAAGCTCAAAGGCACCCTGCAAGCGAGACCACCCAGACGCTGCCCCAACAGCACGAGCACGAACACGCGCACGACATTGCTGCTGACCCCATCGACTACTTCCCGTCATCCTTTGGGCTGCACGCAACAACGCGGGGAGCCACGAGGAGCGACGCTTCAATTCCCACCGCCCAGCAGGCCTACTTCCCCTCCGCCCACAGAATGCTGCCCGCAACTGGCTCGTCCAGCAGTGGTGCGGCCAACCGGAAGGGCGGTGAGACACTGGAGGGCGATGAGCAAGCGGAGCAGGTGGCAAGCAGCGAGGCTGATGCAACATCGGACGCCGAACATGCTGAACAGGCGGGCCGTTCTGGTGCCATTGGCAAACCATCTGCGACAGCAGACGCCCAAACGGGAGAGGTTGGCACCAGCGACCCCGGCCTGCATGCCATTGTGGAGCCGGACAGTGGGCCAGGGCACGACAAATCACTGGTCGACACGCAAAACGGGCGGATGACGGATGCAGAACCCGTGGGACCGGCCCTCACCGACTCGGCCCTGGAGGCTGGTGACCCACAAAACACCCCGGTCCAACCCTTGGCCAACCAAGACTCTAACCCGAAGATCCCCCAACCTTTACCCTCCCACGCCGCCTCCAGCAGCACCTCGCCTTTGGACGAGGTACCCAGTCCCCGTCCCCGTCCCCGTCCCCGTCACACTCCCAGCAGTCCCAGTTTGTTGGAGCGTGCCAAAAATTCTGACGCGGGGATTATCGATCCCGCCGCCGCCGCCGCTGCATCAGCCGAGTCTCGCCCGGAAGACTTCAATCTCAACGACTCTCCCTACATTGGGGATTTCAGAGAACACAAGGCCGAGGAAGAGCAGCACCCCGTTCCCCGCGCCACCGATGCTGCACTTCCGGGTCAAACTGCCGCCCCGGAATCACTTGGTGAATTCATCGCCTCGGAGCCGCAAGTAGACTCATCGTCGGAGACCGTTCCAGGCCTTGAACCCACAGGGATTGTGAATGCTGGGAGCACCACCCAGAGCCCTGACGAGACTGAGACACAGCCCGAGGAGGGAGCTGACGTCTGGTCCGAGCCCGCAACCCCAAACATGTCCAAAAAAGACAAGAAGAAGGCCAAGAAGGCAAAGGCTGCCGCCGCCGGAGAGCCGGACGATGTTGAAGACACCCAAGCACGGGATGTGGATGACAGCCCCTCAGCTGCTGAACCCGGTGCCTCGGCACCGATTGAGTCATCGGCGCAGCCGGAGCCGGCTTCCATCCCGGACGCTGCCAGCGCTCCCGGCGCAGAGGACATTGCGCTGTGGGCTGGTGATGAAGGATGGGCGATCCAACCTAACAGCAAGAAAAGCAAAAAGGACAAGAAGAAGAAGCGCGCCGCAGCTCAGGCAGCTGACGAGGCTGACGCGGTTGTAGCGCAGCCCGAAGAGTCTTCCTCAAAGCCCGAAGAAATCGTTGCTGAGCAAGCGCCCCCTTCTCCACCAGCACAGGATGAGAGGTCTCCGAGTCTGGAAGATGCAGTAAATGAGCACCAGACTACTGCTGAGACTTCTGACCTTCCCCTCGAGACCTCTGAGGCTGTTGTCGAAGGCGTGCCCGAAGATGTTCCCGGCGTGTCCCATGTTCCTGATGCCCCGCATGATACAAGCGCTGGGGATGAGCAACCGCAAGCACCTCAAGAAGCTGATGATGCTGGTTCGGAAGTACCAACAAAGAAGAGCAAAAAGAACAAGAAGAAGCAGCAGCAGCAGCAGCAGAGCTCTGTTGGTGAAGAAGCCCAAGGCAGTCTCCAGGATCCAACACGGCAGGACCACCAGCCTGGACATGGGGAAAGCACATCCACTCCCGCGCCTGCCCCACCTGTCGACACTTTGCCCGCCGACGCAGAACATCTCCAACTCTCCAGGGACCCCCAAACCCTTGACGATACCTTGCCCGAGGATTCATCAAAGGCCTCGACCCAGGAAGACACCCTCATTCTCGACCGCCCAGAAGACGCACCAAACCCAGCGTCCGTCTCTCAACCGCCGCCGGCTGCTGAGGCTGAGGTCCCTCAGGAAGCACAAACAATGCCTTCGGATAGCATTGCCGACACCACTGTTCTGGCAGAAGATGAGTTCCCCGTCGTAACCAAAAAGTCGAAGAAGGACAAAAAGAAGAAGAAGAAGGGCCTCGAGACCCCAGATGAGCCGATTGTGACGCTGGCGACGGAGCCAGTCGTCGAACAAACAAGCCCGCCGCAGCAGACTCCAGCGCCAGAGTCACAACCCACCCCCGCTGAAGTTCCCGCCGTCGACGAGCCTGCCTTTGAGCAAATCGACTCGTCTGAACCAGCTCGGGTGCTCGAGCCTGATGCACCATCCTTCAGCACGCCTATGACCGCGGAAGAAGCCCGTCCGTTGGAGGAGGAGGAACCCATCTCCCCAAAGAAGTCGAAAAAGGACAAGAAGAAAAAGAAGAAGGGTGCTTCCGCTGACATCCTCGCGGAGCAACCCCTGCCTACGGAAACGGAGACCCCCCTTGCCCCCGAAGCCGCCCTTATTGGACAACCCGAACAGATGGTGATGCCAGAGACTGAAAGCACTCCCCAGCCAACAGATGTCTTCACTGAAGACGCGACTACTACGACTGATGAACCCCAAACCCTGCAAGAGGAGGTAGCGCGCGAGCAACCCATGGAAACCACGCCTGATGACGAACCAGTCAGACAAGAGAGCTCTATTCATGACGCCACTGTTGGTGAGGCCACCCCAGCTGTGATTGCTGAGCCTTCACAGCACGAAGATCCCATGGATCTGGATGTTGCCGCAACGGAAGAGCTGTCTAAGGCAGATGTTCCCCCCGTCGCCGAGACCGCCCTAGCGGACACTGTTCTTGATCCCACGCAGACAGCCGAGGCGCCGCAGCCGGTCACCGTCAACGCAGAGGATGAGTTCCCTATTCCGGAGAAGAAGTCGAAGAAGGACAAGAAGAAGAGCAAGAAGGCCCAGGAGGCCCAGGTGGAGCCAGAACTTGAGGCTGAGCCTCCGGTTGAGCAGTCTTTTCGGGAGGAAACAGTGGCCGCCGAGCCCGAGCCTGCGAGTGCCGCTGTGGAGCCAGCCGAAGAGATTCCAATTTTGGAGGAGGAGAAGACGCCGGTTCAGGAACCCGAAATCATTGAGACAAGCCAGCCAGTGGTTGGCGAGGATGAGTTCCCGCTGCCAGACAAGAAGGCCAAGAAGTCGAAAAAGAAGAGGGAACAGGCTCTTGAGATGATCGAGCCGCAACCCTCACTCGAGCCTGCTGCCGAGTCTGCCGTCAACCCTGTCACTGAGCGCTCTCTTGACATTCCTTCGGACAATGTTCCCTCGGCGGAAGACATCTCCCAGGAGCCACCAACGGACACGCCGGCCGACCTCAATGATGTCCAGGAGCCTGCCACCGAGGCCCAAGATGTTCCGCTTCCTGACGCGGACACGCTCAAGGAAGACGTCGCCCTCGAGGCAGATAAAGCGCGCAGTGACGAGGCAGACACATTTGATATCCCGGAGGGCCAACCTTCTCTCCCACTAGATGATGAGCCCTCTTCGCCCAAGCTTTCCAAGAAGGACAAGAAGAAAAAGAAGAAGGCCAAGCTGCAGGATGATTCAAATGTTCTTTCTGATGCTACGCCGACAGTGGAGGTTCCCGAGGAACCTCTTCCCAACGTCCAAGAGGCGGCACAGGCTGACATTACTGCTCCTCCATTCGAGTCCACACAGCCGTCTGAGGAGGTCCCCACTGATCCTGCTTCTAACGCGACAGGCCTCACAGCTCCCGCGACATTACCAGCCGAGGACTCCATGGAGGTGATGCCTTCGCAATCGGCCGAGGCGGATGTCGTCAACACCCAGGAGTCCACGGCTCCCCAGCCTGAACAAGAGGTTCCCTTGACGCCCAAGAAGTCAAAGAAGGACAAGAAAAAGAAGAAGAAGGGCTTGTCCATGGACGATACCGCTGTTGAACAAGAAACCTCGAGGTCGCTGGCTGTTGCCGACGGCGCATCCGACAATCTCCCAGCAGCAGCAAGCGCGCCCGCGGCTGAAGCACCTACCAATATCCCTTCTGAGGCTTCTATCTCGGCTCCCATCGAGCCAGTCGTTGAGAAGGTTGAGTTTCAGGATGAAATGGACATCGATGTAGAACCACCCACAACTGTCGAGCAGGCACCGCCTACGTCAACGTCGGACACTCCCGTCATTGCAACGGAAACTCTGCCCGAGCCGGCCCAGCCGGTGGAAGAGATCGTTCCGGTTGCCCCGATTACTGTAGACCAACCGACAACGACATCAGAGCCAAAGCTTGAAAGCGTCAATGACGTGCCCTCTGCCAGTTTGGAGGATGCCATGCAGACCAAGGAAGCCGCCGTCGCCCTACCAGAAGATGAATGGCCCGAGACATTGCCTGCCAAGAAGTCAAAGAAGGACAAGAAGAAGAAAAAGTCTCAGGCGCAAAACGACCTGATGGCGTCTGAGGCTGCCACTCCTGCGACAACGGCGGTGGAAGAGGTCAAGGAAGAAGAGCCGGCCGTCTCCACTGTAGAGGAGGCCAAGATCCCCGACATCGCCGCACCCGACGTTTTCCCAGATGAGAGAAACCTCTCCGAACCCCTTAACGTCGATGCCAACATGGGCCTGGTTCGCGAGATGGAACGTCCTCATTCTCCCGCAGACAACATCCTGGAAGAGCAGGAGACGGCGCCGGCAGAAGAGAAACAGCAAGATGCCACGACTGACGCTGCATCTTTCGACCCTCTGGCAGCTTGGACAAACGAGTGGTCGAGTGCTCCGACAAAGAAGAGCAAAAAAGACAAGAAAAAGAAGAAGCGGCAGAATCAAGTACTTGAAGATGCCGAAGTTGCCATTCCCCAGGAGGACGATATCACGTCATTCAAGCCAGAGAGCGAGCCGTCCACCGCTGCCGATTCTTTCAATAACCCCCCTACAATCGCCGAACCCTCGGATGCCATCTCCAACCCTCCTTCACCGGCGCGGGCCCGGACACCAGCTCTTGCGGAGCAATCCATTATTTCAGTCAGGTCTCGATCTCCTGACCTCAAGGAGCACTCGGTTCTTTCGAGAAGGTCTGAATCGCCTGATCTTGCAGAGCGCTCGCTTCTTTCTGGGCGGTCCCGAACCCCTAATTATGCCGAGCAGTCAGTTCTTTCTGGACAGTCTCGATCTCCTAATTATACGGAGGGGTCACCTCGTTCGAGAAGGACCCGGTCTCCTGGTTACACGGAGGGGTCACCTCGTTCGAGAAGGACCCGGTCTCCTGGTTATACGGAGGGTTCACCTCGTTCAAGAAGGTCTCGGTCTCCGGGATATACGGACGGTTCATTCCTTACCAGGCGATCTCGATCTCCCAACTATACTGAGGGCTCACCTCGTTCAAGAAGATCTCGTTCTCCTGGTTATACGGACGGCTCATTTCTTACCAGACGGTCTCGATCCCCTACCTATGGGGATCGGTCGCTTCTTTCTGGACGGTCTCGGTCTCGCAACTACACAGAACGCTCACTTCTTTCAAGAAGGTCTCGATCGCCCAATTATACAGAGGGCTCGTTTCTCACTAGGCGGTCTCGATCTCCTAACTACACGGAGCACTCGCTTCTTTCGCGACGGTCTCGACGATCTCGATCCCCTAATTACACGGAGCATTCCAATCTCTCTGGACGATCTCGATCTCCCAATTATGCGGAGCGCTCGATGCTTTCAATACGGTCTCGATCTCCTGATTTTGCGGAACGCTCAATGCTCTCCGAGCGACCGACCGAGAGTGTTGCGCAGGAAGACGACGACCGGGAGAGCAGACATGACAACAGCAAACCCCAAAGCCCCGCAGCGAAAGACCGAGCCCACTCAAGTGCAAGTCATCGACAAGACGTCAATGTCGACGCCGATGGTTCGCGTCCCGCCTCGCCGACGGCAGCCTTGGACACTTCGAGAAGTATGGACCTCCCAGAAACCACACGTTCGTCTCTGGACGTGGTCGACCTCGGCGCATGGGACGTTCCAGTGACCAAGAAGTCGAAAAAGGGAAAGAAGGGCAAGAAACAGTCGATCCCGGTTGACGTAGAATCTCCACAAAACATTGACCCGACGCCGACGCCTGCGCCAAACGCCGACCAGAGCCTTGCGCCAGAGGGTGCCGAGAACGTGGGATACTTTGACAAGGAACCCCTCGAGGAGAACAGGAGTGCGTCCGCGCCGCCTCCTCCCGAGACAGCAAGTACTCTGCTGACCCCAGCGGACACCCCTCGGCCAGTCGATGCTACAGCGCCTTCTCCCAAATCATCCACGTCCGCGGATGTTGACTTGACGCCGGCGCAAGAGACAAGCAGAGTCGTGCACGAAGTGCCCTATGAACAGCCCGACAAGCGGAAGAAACTGAAGACCAGGGAGCAGTCCAACACACTGTTGCCGGAACCAATCTTTAGCTCCCGCGATATCGCAGCTGTGGACCTTGAGGATCACGGCAGCCAGGAAAACAACGCTGTCGGGCAAGTTGGCACGATTGCAGATGTTTCGTTGCTTCCGACATCTACGCCGGATGCCTCTGAACACCAGGGCCCTTCGGAACCAAGCGTAGACAGGGGCGTTTCTGAACATCATCCTACATCAGCGCCGGACGCCTCTGAACAACAAGGCCACCCGGAACCAAGTGTAGACAAGCAGGTTCCTGAACACCCTTCATCTGCTCTCGATATTGCCGCTTCATACCTCGAGCACAAGACTGAACACGACCCTATCGAGACTACCCGGGCCATGACCCCCGAAAAGCAACACCAAGATACCGGCTCATCAAAACTTGGTGTCGCGGCTGGCGCGGCGGCGATTGCGGCGGCAGCAGCAACCCTCGCCAAGTCTAGCAGCGCCAAGAAGAAGGGAAAGAAGTCCAAATACGCAGACAAACGCAGCTCGCAGGAGGACGACTTGTTTGACGATCCATCGCTGTGGGAAGGCGCCGACAAGAAGCACGTCAGTGAGGCTGCAAACGCAGAGGTTGAGAAGTTCTGGGGCGGTGTAGAGCCGCAGAGTGCGTCTGCTCAAGGGGCGCCAGCCGAGCCGGACACTACGAAGGATGAGGAGCATCACAAAAGACAAGACAAGACGATGGAGGAGGATGATGTTTTTGCTCCAAACACGAAGCAAAGAGATGGCCCGCCCATTCGACAGAACCCAGTCGAATCTGGCGAATTGCCGTCACCGAAGGAGAAGGAGGAACTTTCAAAAGGCATGCCTAGTCTGACAGCGCCTCTGAAGGAAAAAGCTCTGGACGACAATGTCGAAAGCCCTGTACTGGGGCGAGAGGAAAAGACTGAAGAGATCCCATCGGCTACTCAAAGGGACGCTCGCCAATCGCTGGATCCAGAGCCAAGCACGATGACCAGTGATCTGGACGAGGCCGTCGATCGCGGCTTCGAGGCCGAGTCTCGCCGCGATCTTTCCAGCGTCCTCTCATCCCGAAGCCCCGAGCCATTCTACGAGACAGGAGGTTTCCGAAGCCCGGTCCCAAGCATCCTGCCACCAGTCCAGGAGGAGGCTCACGAAGAAGCCGAACCTCAGCCCAGATCTCTCCCCAAAACATCATCTCGGAGGGCACTACGCACACCAGAGCCCCACCGTGACAGCGCGCTGAGCTCAGGCTCGTCTCACCCTTTCCGCAAGAGTGGTCTCGACAGCCAAGTCGAGCGAGACAGCGGTGTCATGCGCGACTGGCAAGAGACAAGTTCGCAAGGACGTGAGGCTCAGCGCACGCCCGAGCTGTCCAGTCACCGTGAGAGAAGGAGATCTCGTGAAGCAGAGAGGGCAAAATCACCATCGGTCAGAGACCTTATCCGACGATCGCCTTTCGCCGAGGACGAGACTCGCGACTATCCGATGTCCAAGACGCCTGTTCTGCGCGACCCTGGGAGCCGGCAACTCGATACCCCGACTCCAGAGCCGCACAAGATGCGGCGCATCAGTCCAGAGCTGGAGAGGAAGCGATCCAAGTACCAAGACCTGGCCTCTGCGGCGCTGGCCGGGGCTGCGATCAGCAGCACGTCGTCACCGCGTAGCACGCCCCCGCCCGGCAATCGCAGCGTCTCGGAGCGTGTTGCACGGCTGCAATCGCCAGCGCCGGTCGAGCCCCCTGTAGCGCGCAGATCCATATCCAATAGCAGCCTCTCGCGGCACAGGCGGGCCATGGGCTCACAAACACCGGAGCCACTCAAGTTCCGGCCTGAAAGCCCAGGCATCATCTCTCGCCCAGCCACTGCCACCCCTCCTCTCCGCCGCCGGACAGACAGGCGCATGAGCGGAGACCTGCGATCTCTCAGCCAACGAAGTCAGCAAGACCTCACCCAGGACCCGACCAGCTCGTCAAACACCCCCGTCGCCAACGAGGGTCGTGTCCGCACCAAGGACATGGCCGACGTCTTTGTAAGTTCATCCCATCTTTGACATTTCCTTTCCCGCACAAGCCATCCCTGCGTTTGTTTTATTCTCGTGCCTTGCCTCCCCGACCGTCTGGCTCCAATTGAGTTTTGGCCTTTGCAGCCTTGCTCAATCCTCACCGACTTTCCACTGACCCGGCCACCGTAGGATGGCTTTGGCGAGGGCCGCATCGGCTCCCCCCGCTCGCCCACTAGACCACACAGCATGCGTCGCCGTCAGAGCATGCAAGTCCTCGAGCTCGAGTCTCGCGTCGAACAGCTCCTGGCCGAGAACCGCATGCTCGCCGATGCCCGAACCACCGCGGACACCACCACCACCAGCAATCGCGCTTCAGCTTCAGGCATCCTAGCCGAACGCGACGCCGAGATCGACGTCCTCAAGCAGTCGCTCGAGTTCCTACAAAAAGAGGTCGCTCGCTTGACAGAGGTCAACGAGGGCCTCAACAGCGCCAACGCCCAGCTTGCTGCCCAACACAACGAACGCTACCGTTCATTGGAGACGCAGCATGCAGACACGTCGCGACAGCTGGACGAGGTTCGCAACGAACACGGCCGCTTCCAAGAGTCGCTGTCGCAAAAGGATGCCGAAATCAGCAAGCTGCGCTCCGAGCTCGACGCTGCCAAGGACAAGATCCGCCAGATGCAGCGCCAGATTCTGGCCGCCAAGGGCGCCGACGCCGACTTTTTGAACGTCAAGGACGTCGACCATTTCGACCACCGATGCCAGCAGCTGTGCTCCCACGTTCAGCAATGGGTCCTCCGGTTTTCCAAGTTTTCCGACATGCGCGCTTGTCGGTTGACGAATGAAATCAATGATGAGAAGGTCATTGACCGACTCGACAACGCCATCCTCGATGGCACTGACGTGGATGCCTATCTCGCCGACCGCGTGCGACGCAGAGACGTATTCATGTCCATGACGATGAACATGATTTGGGAGTTTGTGTTCACCCGTTACCTCTTTGGCATGGACCGCGAACAACGACAGAAGCTCAAGTCGTTGGAGAAGCTCCTCACCGAGGTCGGCCCTCCTCAGGCCGTCCGACAATGGCGCGCCGTCACCCTGACGCTGCTCTCCAAGCGCCCGAGCTTCAAGCACCAGCGCGACCTCGACACCGAGGCCGTGGTCCAGGCCATCTTCCAGACGCTGTCCAAGGTCCTCCCTCCCCCGTCCAACCTGGAGGACCAGATCCAATCACAGCTGCGCCGTGTGATGAGAGAGGCCGTCGACCTCTCCATCGAGATGCGCACCCAGCGAGCCGAGTACATGATGCTCCCGCCGCTGCAGCCCGAATACGATGCCGACGGCGAGCTCGCCGAGACGGTCACGTTCAACGCCGCCCTCATGAATGAGCGCAGCGGCGACAAGTCCCTCAACAACGAGTCTCTCGAAGGCCAACACGCCGTCGTCCGCATCGTCCTGTTCCCTCTTGTCGTCAAGAAGGGAGACGACGCTGGCAACAACGATGACGAGATCGTTGTGTGTCCCGCCCAGGTGCTGGTGGCTCGGCCCAAGGGCAAGTCTGTCCGCCTGTTCACGCCCGGCAGCGAGGTTGGCGGGTCGCTGATTGGCGGCAACGCGGCAGCGACACACAGCGAACTCAGCATGGGCACTTTCCTGCCCGAACAAGCGTCGAACGTGCGATCCAACTAAACATAAGGGGGAGAGTGTGTGTGTAATTATGGGAAATGGTCGAAAGGCCCAAGGATTAGAAGGAAACGGGTTGGTACATTATCAAAAAGAAAACGAAGCTTACGACACCTGAGGCTTCATGGGATGATTTGGAGAAGGGGGGTACAAAAGGTGGTTGCACAACGATACCTCTTTGGTTTTATTTTGTTTTGGTCATGACGATTTTTCCTACTGCGCGATGTCACTTGCTTCCTTCGCGGTAATTTCTATTTTTGTAATTGGGCCTTTCTAGACCGTAACGAATAATGATGAGCTCATTGAACAAGTGCTTCTTGTTGCCCGTGATGGGATTTGATCACTTTTACACACTTATTGACGCATATTTGACCTTGATCTTCTTCATTAAATGCCCCAGACGGCCTACGAGTCTACCAGCAACCCTCTCTGTCATACACACGACTACTACAAACCTGCGCGGTATCCTTTTTTCTCTATTATCGCAACCTCGGACAAACTCTTTGTCAACCACTGCATCACGCAAACGCATCCCAACCGTCATTGTCCTTTTATGTTTCGTAAAATACAGGCAGACCCCGCGCATTACGTATGTGCTAAATGTATACTTATATATGTATGTGTAAATCAACATGTCAGAGATGGGTGTCTGACATTTTTGCCTGTCGTCGCTCGACGTAAATTTAATCAATGAAGATCGAGTGCCTGTCGTTGGCCCCAGTGGAACCCGTTCAGGCCCAGACTCGGGTCGTGGAAACCGGAAATGTTCAGCTCACCAGTGCTCGGGTCATGCGGGAACAGGTTGTTGATAATGTCCTGCACCATGAGTTAGCTTCGTGACATTGCAAAGACAGAAGAAGAAAAAAGACATACCCAGTCCACGCCTTCGAGCGAGTTCACCATGTTCATAGGAGCCTGCGTCGTCCTGTGTCCGGCAACGCTTGCGCCGTCGCAGCTGCTTTCCGGGCTGTCCGCAGTGACCGGCTGCACACTCCACAGCGCCTCGCCGTTGGAGACACCCGCAAAGACAATGTTGGGTGGAGGACCGCCCATTTGGCCTCCGGGAGGGCCTCCTGGGCCGCCCGGAGACCCCATCCCCGGAGATCCGACGCCGCTGACGGGAGTAGGCGGTTGCAAGCCGGCTGCCATGCCGGACTCTGACTTGAGACCCATCGGCACATTCTGCTGGTACTGTTGAGGGGAGGGTTGCATCGTGGGGCTCTTGACGCCCACAGCGTTCTTGTTCGGAGCGGCGCGTGATGTTCCTGTGGGCGCGCGCATCTTGCGCATGCCCTGGTAGATGGAGGTCTTGCTCATGATCTCGCCCAAGATTTGCAGACCCTTGATCTCGGGCGGCAGAGTACGGTCCGTCTGGAAAACGTAGTCCAGACAGTTCCAGATGCGGGGGGCTTCTCGACTTTGGGGCCTGTAGTATACTTCAGTGGCCAGGAGCAAAGCGATCTGGAACTGCTGGTAAGCACCCAAGTACCAGGCCCAATCCTGGTATGGGGGTGCAGTCTCGAGCTGTATGGATATTTCGATAATCATGATACCCGACATGATGAGGATGTTGTTGAGGCGATGCGGCATGGGACTGTTGGCATTGGCGTGGTAAGGGTGCAGGACCATGGCGTAGAGACGGTACAGGAGCAGGTTCATCACGAGCTTTGCGTACCGTTGCACAGGCACGTCGCCGTCGAGGTATTTCTCGTACTTGTCCAGCATGCGCTTCCGAAAGTTTTCAATCTTTGTGAGAACGGCAGTCAGAGTCGTCCGCCGACTCTCGAGCCTGCGACGGTCCAGCCAGATGATGCGCATCATCTCGTTGCTCTCGAACCGGATGAGGGAGAACAGAGTGGAGGTCCACCGTTCTGCCGGCTCCGGAGGCGGGCCTGTGGCGTAGAGCTCGTCCTCCTCGCAGTTGAGCGGAAGCTTGGTGTCGTAGTCTTCTCGGCGGATGGCGGGCCGCGGGCCCTGTGCCTCACACGTGCGGATGTCTAGGAAGCACAGCTGGTGCCAGATGAGCCTTCTCACATGAGTGTCGAGGGGGTTCAACCCGTATGTCTCCCCGTCCCTGTGCAGACCCATACACTCTGCCATCCTCACCGCGGCGCCCACGAGCACGGAGTGAGCTCTGGACACCTCGGCTCTGCACAGCGGAAGCTGCATGCCAAGTCAGCAGTTGCAAGCACAAAAGCAATTGGGATAGGACGCACCATGTACATGACGAAAGCCTGCATCGTCTCGACTCTCGTCGTCCTCAAAAAGTTGGCTTTTCCCAGCGCAGTCTCCGTCGCGGCCTTGAGCCTGTCGATCAAGGATGCCTTGGTGACCCCGAACAGGCGGTAGACCACCTGCTCATCCATACTTACCGCGGCGCTGAACCACGCCGCGAACATGATGGCCTGCGTGGACGGCCGTGGCTCATAATTGCTGTAAATCTCCTCCCAGAAACCCTGGTAGTCGTTCTCAAACGTTGGGCGATGGACGCATCTCGCAACGGGATGGACGGCGTGGAAGTATTGTTGAAGAAGACGGTCCGCGGCTTCCCTAGTGGGCAATAAAGACTCCAAAGACTGCACCTCGGCCGACTGGCCAAAGAAGAAGCCGCTCGAGGGAGGAATGTAGGACTCGCCAGGCCTCAAAAAGTCGGGGAGTGAGCCGTTAGAACCTCCGCTAACGGTGGACATGGCATCCATGCCCGGCGGTGGGCCGGGAAAACCGGGATACCCAGGGGGCGGTCCACCACGGGGCGGCCCGCCACGTCCGGCCCCGCCCATTCCTCCCATTCCTCCCATTGCGCCCATCATTCCTCCCATGCCTCCCATGCCTCCCATCGCCCCCATGGGAGGAGGGCCGGGAGGACCTCCTGAACCGGGAGGCCCGCCAGAAATCCCGGCAGAGATCTACGAATTGCGGTTAGAATGTTGCCCAGAAATCGGACGACTGTCCAAATACGCACCTCTTCTGCTATCCTAGGCCTGGAAAGGCCGCCGATTCGCTCCGTGATGCGCATGCGGCCAACTTGAACACCGAGATCGATGAGATCGTCCGTGCCGTCGGCATCTTCATCGTAGGTGACATCAAGCGCCGTCATGTCCGTGGGCTCGAGATCGCGCTCCTCGGCGAACTCATCTTCGACGTCGTCGGCAAGGATTGCTTGCTGCTGGGCAGCGCGGGAGGTCGTTTTTGCAACGTCGCGCTCCAGCTGGCGCTCCAAGGAGCCGACCTTTTCCTTGATCTCTGTTAGACGAAGCTGGCTGGCCTCGTCGAGCTTGGGACTGAGGTAGACACAGTCGCGCGAGAACTTCATGCAGTTGACGCATGGTTGCGACTTGTTGCACTTGAGCTTGCGGCGGCGGCACTCGAGACAGGAAGTGATCATGCGCATGCGCCTGCGGATGGGCTTGGAGCTGACGGCGGAGCCAGCGACCGAGGCGCCGGGAGAGGTAGCACCGGCGGGCACACCCGTCTTACCTGGCACAGAAGATGTTGCCGATCCGGGCGACTGGGGAGGGCCGGGCATGAGATCTGAGTTGGGAAGTACGCGCGGGCTTGCCATGGAGGGGCCGGGCGCGGAGGGGCTCACAGGATTCATGGGGTAATACTGTGGCTGGCCATGGGGCGGCGAGTGAGGGTTGACGGGCGAGTGAGTGTGGTGCTGATGTGGGTGGGAATGCGGAAGCTGTTGATAGGCGTGAGGGTGGCCCGGTGCCTGGGCCGAGTAGATGGAAGCACCGGGCGCATGACGTGCAGCGGAATAATGGCCTTGGTCCATTTGATGGTTGGTCGGCGGTCTTGTTCTGTCACTTGTCGTCTTTCTGTCAACGGCGGAGCGTGCGAGGGCGGGTGATATGAGTTCCTGTTAAGGTTCGACGACAGACAAACAGCGCGGTCATTCGTTGGGCGAGGTCGAGATGGCGATCGAAAGAGGGTAGAGACTGGGAACGGTTGAGGGTCGGCTGGGTCGTCCGGGGGGAGTTACGGACGTAAAAAAGGACGTGGGCTGTTGTATGTGCAGGGCCACTTGGAGCAGGGTGGTCGCCGGAGATGTATGCGCGCGTGTGTGTGTGCGTGTGGGAGGAGCGGGTGGAATATGCAGGAGGTGATTTTTATTTAGACTGGGCCCCGGTCTGGCTGCTGCTTGATTGTGGTGGTGTCGAGCAGTCGAATCGTAGTGGTGGTGGTGTTGTGTAAGAGTTCGGGTTGGCGTGGTGTTGGCAGGTGGTGGGATGTGTTGGCGGTCGAGAGAGAGGACTCGAGCAAGAGGACGTGGAAGGATTCGAGAGCGTTGGAGTGCGGGTGTACACAGGACTATGTATCCATGTAAGTGTACAGCAGAAGAGGAAGAAGAATAAGCAGCAGCTTCCGCCTTCCGGCACAAAAGGCAAAAAAAAAAAAGACGGGGTGTCGTGGATTTGCAACTGGATTTGGATTTGTGCGCCGCGCTACGCCGTGTCCAACAACGGACGAACAGAGACGACGAGGAACAGGAGCAGCAGCGGCAGCAGCAGCAACAAGATGGGATGAGGGTAGGTAGACAGACAGGCACGGTGTGCAAGGGGTGTGCGTATGCGATACCTTCCTTACCTGGCGACGAGGGGTCCCTCGTGGGGTCTGGAGGCGCGACCCCGAGGTGAGCAACAAGTGACGGTGGAGGGGAGGTGAGCACGCACGCACGCACAGTGGGGAGGGCAGTGTACCTTACCTACCTAGGTCCATACCTTGGCCAGTACTTCCGGATGCGGGGGTTCGGCCCCCCCCTGGCGTCTTTCTCTCTGCCCAAGACACACCTCCACGAAGGGAATGGTTCATCGCAACATCACGCAACAGGCACACACCTCAGCGCCAGCGCCGGCTTCGCTAATCTGCTTCTCGCCTGGCCTCTATTCTTGTCCCTCCACGCTGCGCTCGAGGCGACGGAGCCTTACGTTAGGTCAACGGAGATAATCGTCTAGTTTCTGCGCCTTGGAGGGACCTTGGAGGAAACAGGTCAAGGACGTGAT